CTGTCAAAGTGGGGGTAACATCTCCAGTCAAGAAATTCACTACGTACATGTGAAATCTACTCCACTTTTCTAATGAAAGGGCAATTCTCTGTCATGTAAAAAACCCAAACCAATTCCAGGCAAATAACCCACGATCAGGGTAAATTAGTGGCAATATGCACTGGTTTTGGCTGGGATAGAGTTAAGTTTCTTCACAGTAGCTTCTATGGGGCTATGGTTTGGATTTGTGCTGGAAACAGTGTTGATAGCACAGGGATGTTTTTGTCATTGCTGAGCAGTGCTTACACAGAGTCAAGGCCTTTTCTGCTTCTCACCCGACCAGCGAGTGGGTTGGGGATGCACAAGAAGCTGGGAGGGGACACAGCAGGGACAGCTGACCCCAAGTGACCAAAGGGATATTCCACACCATATGATGTCATGCTCAGCATATAGAGCTGGGGGAGGAAGGAGGAAGTGGGGGACGTTCGGAGTGACGGCATTTGTCTTCCCAAGTAACCGTTATGTGTGATGGAGCCCTGCTTTCCTGGAGATGGCTGAACACCTGCCTGCCGGGGAAGTTTGCTTTGCTTGTGTGCGTGGCTTCTGCTTTACCTATTAAACCGTCTTTATCTCAACCCATGAGTTCTCTCACTGTTACCCTTCTGATTCTCTCCCCCGTCCCACCGGTGGGGAGTGAGTGGAGTGGCTGTGGTGCTTAGTTGCCGGCTGGGGTTAAACCATGACACAATCATAGGAAGTTTAATATACTTGTGATAGAATGCTGCTGATATAATGCTAATGGATTTCAGTGCAGGTTTTGTTTCTGTTTTACACAAAGGCTGCTCAGGTGACATTCCAAGACACCACAGTACGTTGTTGGAATGCCTCTTAAAAATAGCATGTAATGTTGCTACTGTCCGCAAGTATTTTATACCTCTGCCCATAAACTGTGATCAGTTGTAAGCCTGTTGGTACCACTGTACAGTCAATACTAGCTGGGAAAAGTACAATCATCTCTTTCGGTGCCTAGGCTCCTTCCCCCTACCAAAAGATCTGATGAACAAGGCTCAACACTTACATTCAAAAGCCACTCTTCCAAACTCACAGAACTCGCACATTTACCATGCTTTTGACTTCTCCCTAACTTGGGTAAGAGGAGAGAAGAGCTATACGGACATAGCCCAGATGAACACAGTACTTTGGTAAATGTATTTTTGCATCTGATTTTTTATATTTAGCCCTGCTGTCCTGATATTTGATCAACAAAATAAAGTAAGTCTTTCTGTCCTGAGTTCATAGTGCTAGAATAAAACTCTCTGAAAGGCATGAAGTATAATATAGCCTAACACCACAAGGTATTTTTTGCTCTGATGTGGATCAAAGATCTTGACTCAATCACTATTGAATTCCCTGATTTTCTTGCCCCAGCCATAAAATGCACTGTAGTGCATTACCTTTTCCCAGGCTATTTACCTTTACTGAAATGTACTGTTTGTCATTTGGCATGGTTAACTATCACACAATGATAATGTCAAGGTCTTTGAAATTATTATGTGGTAGTGCAGGCTTACTATCTTATCAGTAGCAATAAATATCTTGCTAAAATTGGGGTGTTACACAATTGCTTTATTCTGACTACGCAACCTGAAAAAATTCCCCCTTGCATTATCATCTTCTCAAGAGGGCAAAATAGACCAAAACTTTCATCATGAAACCATTTTTGATACTGCTCAAAACTGCTCTGAACGTAAGCATAAGAGAACATACGTCGGCAACTTAATACCAGACCTAAGCAGTGATTATAATTTTCATGTATATGCATTCATGTACTTTTCATCTGTACAATGACAAAAGATAGACAAAGCTCTAGTTCTTATAATACTCACCCTAAAAAAAAAAATATAAAAATCAAAGACTTTCTGAAGACTTTTCTTTAAACATACACAAAATTCATAAGCATTTTAGAGCAGAAACACTGAAGACTTGGTCATTGACCAGGACTTATTTGTGCCAGAAACATTAAGAGTGAGGTAAAAAAAGCCACACAAACAAAACCAAACCTCCACACATCTCATACAGAACAACAGACAAAGAGTTCATGTCAAAATAAAGGAGGTTTCAGTCATTCACCTATTTGTACCTCCTTCTAACAAAGAGCTATTGGCATGAAACATCAACTCAAAACACCCTCCTTACTGGCAAAGCCATTAGGTTTCTTTTACTCTACTTTATGTAAACTAGAACTTGGAGGATGCCATCACTAAAATCCATATTTACTAAACAACCTATGACATGTAATCCTAGCAGCAGTGATTTAGTTATCAGTTGGTCATGCCTTTTCCTTCTGCCTATGATGAAATCACAGCTTAACATTAATAAAACCAGTACCTTTAAGAAAGTCCTGCAGGTTAAAAGAGGTTTTAAAAAAAGACTGTTTAAATATTTCCAGGCCTTACAAAAGGATGAAGTATAGAATTTACATTTTGGAGCAAGAGGGAGGTGAATGACACAAGATAAGTAGAACAAATTTCTCAAGGTATCATTCACTTAAATGAAGCACTCAGGGTATGGTAGCTCTACAAAGACTATACAGAGCAAGTCTTACAATGCCTTCTTGTTTCAACTAGTCATTACCTTACTTCTTGTTTGTCTTTCAAAACTCTTCAGTTAGCACTTATGCTTTGACACGCTACATTCTCATTAACAAAACTGTTTTTACAGCCATCAGTATTCAGTTCCCAATTATGATTTAGCAAAAATATTGGAAGTTACTCTACTGAATACTTTCTCCTCAGTACTCTATCCTACTGCAAAGAAACCACCTACCTACCCACTTCTAAACCCATCTTCTTTCTTAGACTGCATTTCAAAAATCGGTTTATTTCTCACTAGTCCTTCCCTGGTCCACGCACACTTCACCAATTAGACAAAAATAATTGCAGGTTTCTGCCTATCACCTCCAGATGACATGAAATAAAAAAGCCTACTGGCTGCCCTGACAGCCCAACAGAGCAAGGATAAATACTAAACTTTACCTTACATCACAGTTAAGTATTCTGCTTTGCATTCACACACATTCCAGTTGTTGGCAGACAAAAAGAGAAGCTTCCTAAAATCATTCTGGTTCTTAAGTGCTGAGACAGACAAATAATGTGAAGCTTAGTTCTTAACACCTGTGGTAAGCTGATCACACAGGAAGAACTCTCACAATAATCTCAACTCACTGACAGTTCTGATGTCCTCCCACAGAGCATCCTGCTTGCTCTAATGAAACGGGTGATGTGGGACTGCAGTGCCATATAGATGGTCTGTTTTGATCCCTTATCTTCACAGAACTTGGTTTGATGTGTTTCATCCCCCCATTTCAGAACACAGTGGAAGAAGCCCACAAGAAGCAGCAGCTTCTGCCTGAGCAGTGCCAATGATGGGAGTGGTATGCACCGATGTCAAATACTGGAAAGGAAAAAAGGCAGCACGAAGATTTTTGAAAAATCCTTATCATCTAACTTCTACTTTTGTTTGGTACAAACATGACATTTTTGATTGTCACTTAATTTGTCTTTTCATTTTTCAAATGAAAAACTACTATTGCAAAAGTGAAAAAAAAAAACAACCCACTACTGGACACCGTATCTGATGTATGCAAGCATAACTCATATGTTAGCACAAGGTCTTAGGAAACAAAGAGATAGTGAATAAATATTTGTATATAAAGACCAACTATGCATAACGTACTCTAAGTTTATAAATACAGTTTTGCCCTTAAAATTCCCATCTCTTGTGTCAGAATCCAAACTTTTTTTTTTCCCTGAAGTTTAGCCGAAGGCTTTTCCAAATGTAAACCTGCAGCTTTGCACTCTGTCTTACATTTTCAAACACCGAGGACAAAGTTTCATAATGCAAAGAGTTCCCCCATTTTTTAAAGTAGAATGTTTATCCTAACAGCCAGCTATCCGATGGCAACAATATGTAATTATTTCAGAGTCTGTAGCTTTCTCTTCTTTCATGAACAATTTTAGCCTCTCTGATAAGAATAAATGAATGGAATTTAAATTTGGTACCAGACATGAGTGGCACTTCAGCACAGCTATGTTTCCTCACTCTCTATCAGTACTATGCTCACAGTGAGGGTCAGGACCCAGACTAATTGAATTCTACTAATGAGAAGCAACAAGCCTCCAATTCTGTTCTTTTTAGAGGGCTACACAGTCCACATATCTCAGGTGATGTGGTGAAAGAGCTATGGTATAAAAAATGAATTTTGGTTAATTGAAAAACAAGCAGTTTCAATTTGATCCAAACAGTATCTTTTTTTCCAGCAGAGGGAAGACAGTTTATCCTGGAAAGAATTTCTTTCTTTTTGATGCAAAATGAAACACTGCATGAGACTATGCAACTACAGACACCTCACAATGCATTGCTTCAGACTGCTGAGACATAAAGTGGTAATTCAAGAAACAAGATGTTACTTGTTTTTAAAAGGAGATTAAATCTCCTTTTAATCTGGATTATTCCAGATTGTACTGAAATAAATGTATTTTATTTACAGAGGAGTTTTCTTTTTCCACAGAAGGCTGTCTGTGAAAGGAACATAGGTAGATACCCACAAAAAGCTCAAAAGGAAGACATAAATTTAAATAATTAACTGATTTAACTTACAGCCTTATACAGAAGAGGCAATATGATTTCAGAAAGGCAGAGGACATATTTCTTGCCCTTATACTGCAGTCTACCAAAGTATTAAGATTAGTTTTTATCTTAAATTTGTATCTTGTTCGGCTGAGGAACATATTTAAATTTGATAAATCTGATCATAGTCTTATTTAGTCAGATGAATGACTGTACTAGGAGAAAACAAAAATATCTGGACACTAATCTTTCCTTATACAGACAGCAGCAAAGTTAGAAAAAGCTAATGAAGTACATGTCATCTCAACCAACAACAGCTATGTCTATAAAGATGTCTCTGTACATTAATATTAAAATTTACGCTATATTCACAGACATGAGATTTTTGGTACCTGCAAGTAAGGTTAGGGTCAGCATTCCTTGACAGAAGCAGTTCTACGGTCTTCAAGATGTTTTCCTCTGAAGCATGCGCAGCACATGCTGCCATCAACACAGTGTACTTATCTGTTTTGAAACTTGCAGTTAGAGAATTACATATGTAAATGTAAATACCATGCTAATCCAGAACTTCCTTTAAAAGCCTTTACATTTGCTAGAGTTGTTAATCAGGTTCTGATACTCTAAGATATTTAGAAAAGGGTAAGAAACTTGTTTTCTTTCCAGTGAAAGTCACTAGAATTATCAGGTAAGATAAAGGCATCTGGGAAGAGAAGATACTCAGAAAGATGAGAGTGAATGGCAGTAGTAAAGCATCTATTCCTACTGAAGTTTAGGATAGTCAAAAAACCCCCAGTAGGAGCTTAACTATAGATGCTTGTTTCTCAAATCTTGTTCCACACCAGTAGATTCACTTCCTGTTCCTCCCCACCTCTCCCCAAAATACAGTCAAGGGGAGAAACAGCTTACAGGAATTTAACTGCAATGGATAAAAATAGTGCATGAAATGTATTATAAACACATAGCAACACCAATTTTAGGGAGGACAGAGGCCCATACAAAGGACAGCTGAAGTAACGAGGCTTTATTATAAGGCTTAAGGAGAAGGAAGTTAAGTTTACTAAACTAGACTACTATGGTGCAGTAGTGGCAGGAGGAGGATTAAAAGTATATTTTCATATGTGGATTTAAAGAACATCAACACAGTCCATAAAGATTCATCAGGAGGAACCAGTGTAGTTGCTCTAGCTCTGAAGCCAGCTGGGTGTTACATGCCACCTTTGCTCACAAATCAGAATTGTACACCACTGCTGTTTGCCCACAGAACAGGGGAGATCTCCTTTCCCATGGTTCTCCTAGAGAGATGTGGAAAGCATCACACCTCAAGGACCTTAGCGAGTTAGTTGGCCCCAGAGTCAATTACAAGACTGCAGTTTGAATAACTGCCCGTTTTGCTTATTGCACAAACTTGTTCACAAGTTCAAACATGCCTTTAACAATTTGTTTTAACAAGTATAATTTTAGCTGTACCTACTTCAGACCATACCATGAAGTGTTACAACATATTTTCTAACTTTCTCGTAGAAATTTTAAGACCGTGTATATGTTAACACCTTTATTCTTCAACTGAGGTCAGATTTTATTATATTTAAACATGAGAAGTTTGTTATGTACTTTACCCTCCTCTGCTCTACTTTCTGTATTTCTCACCACTTCTTGTCCCCCAGCCCTCCAACCAAAGATCTTAGTTTTGCATTTAAATTCATCTGTTTTTTTAATATACCATCTTTTAGTTTTCAACTACCTCATGTAGAAGTTCTAACACACATAAATCAGTATGCTAAATAAAAATTAAGTTTCAGAGAGTCACTTAAACTCCTGAACAGTAAGCAATTAACATTTCAGTAAATTACTTGATACACTGACAAGATTTTACTCAAAATGTTTAACCTGGTTATCAATAACAACACGAATGGAAAGACAGCAGGACTTTGAACACAGGCAGGGATAAGCACTGTTAATCTGGGAATGATATTTAGGAGGAACCTGTAGTTATATTTGTATTCAGTAATTCAGGAAGTGATAAAGAGTGGGAAACTAATTTCTGTTAGCCTAACTATAGCTCATACATGTGAGCAAGAGAAGAGGAAGAAACACCTTAGAATTCTCAGGTTTCTCTTTTGCAGAGAAAAACTGGTAAGAGGCTGCAAAAAAGATTAGTTTATGTTCAGCCTAGCTGAAAAACCCAGAAGAGCCAGTGAATTTACTCCTCAAAGATGCTGCATTCTGATCCCACCACATAGTGAATGCTACATTAGCTCCTTGTTCTTCATGACTACTGAAAAGGGTAAAATTAAGCAACCACTTACAAAGAATGACAGTAATTAACACTATAGCTATTATTAGGGATTATAGGATAATTAGTATAGGATCACTTATGTGATTGCCTGCTGATGTAAAAAAAGCAGTAGGACTGGTGACATTTAGTACCACTTTAGGATGGCATAGCTTTACTGAACATGTGGCCTGACCTGAACCAAAGACTTGCAAGACTGTTCCTGGCTGGACGGTACTCTGCTGCGCATATGCCCTAGCTCCTGTTTCCCTACACAGACTAAAAGGGAAACAAGCCGAGAAACCTGATCCTAGCAAAGTGCCACTTAGGGCAAACACAGTTGGTCACACACTGAAAAAATGCCATGCATGTTGGTTAACTGGTCAGCCGAAACTGCTGCCCATAGCAGTTTCTGCCCCATTTACAGCCCTCTACAGCCATAAACAAGGAACAGGTATAAACAGTAGGCAGCCACAGTTGTAGATAGCTACATCGAAGTTCTCTGAAGTTGGCTACAAGGACAATAATTCAAAGGCATGATTGTTTTCGGTGCAGGCAATCTACTCTAACCTCACACTCTGATCAGCTGCTAAGAAGTTCAAGAAAATTTTCCGAGCCAGACTTGTACCGTCTACATTTCAGTCTACTATTACAAATATCGGCAAGTTACCAGAAAATAAGATCACTGCTTTTATGTACTTGACAGTATCGTGTGTCACATCAGTTTCTTCTGTATTGCAATGCCTTTTCTTGAACTTGGATAAATCTTCCAACACAATGAAAGAGAAGGAAAATAGCCACAGTTTAAGTAGGAAAAAGTTATTATTAAGCCATAAAAATTGACAGAGGAACCGATATTACTTAGAAGCTCCACTGAACTCTTGCAGAAAAAGATGATCTAGCAACACACTGAAGAATAGTTTTCACTTAATAGAAAAATTGTGCTCTAGTTTTAGAGAGGTCCACATTAGTTGCCCACAAACTGGAAAGCTATTCCTGTTGTTTGGGATTCTAGCTGGTTTCTGCATCTACATAACAGGATCAAATAAAGGAAGTTTTAACTCTACAATTTTATCCTAGAATTCTTGAATAATTATTTCCAAACACCCTTTTTAAAAAACTACTCGGGGATTGGGAGGTGGGGCGGGATGGACGGACAGAATGAGAAAGAACAATAAAACCCATTGACTGAACCCAGATCAGTTCTAAGAACACAATTTTTAGTTTAGAACTACTACTATTACTTCAAAACTGTGAAAGTTAGACTAGGTCTCAGTTCTATTGTGAACTTTGATTCCCCCCCCCCCCCCCCCAAATTTGAACAAAAAAAAGGGCGAAAGGCACTGTCCCCCCCACCCCCCATATATGTAAAAAGAGAATAGGGATAGGACAATGTCTGGTACTGAGCATTTACTGGCCAGTATTTTTCATTCACATCTTACCTATTTCAAAACATGCATTAGCACCTCTGTCCAGAAGAAGACGCACTACTGCAAAATCAGCCACACTGGCAGCACACATCAGGGGAGTCCATCCAAACTGAAAGCCAGATTCTATGCTTATACCTGTCAAAATTTAAGATACTAAAATCATAAAACTGAACCACAACAAACACGAATTTTGTAAAACTTACTCTTAATACGTTCTGTTATAAAGGTTACACACTGTTTGCGTTTAGTCCTAGGGAGAGAAGTCTCTTATATAATTTTCATTTTCTTTAATACACCTTTATCTAGAATACCAGAAAACAACATTTAGAACTGACACCAAGGAAGCTCAGTTCTCAATCCAAGATGTTAAGCACCACAAAAAGACTACATTAAAAAAAAAAAAGTGAGTAATAAATTTAACTGCAAAAATAATTTCAGAGAAGTGCACAGAATCTCTGTTTTCTCCATTTATGTGCAACAGCTTTCCTCAGTCAAAATGAAAAATTTTGATTCTTGCCAAGCCAAGTGGACTGCTGTGGAAGCAACTTGCTTGTCAGGCTATTAAGATCGTATCAACTAGGGTTTTCCTGCTTCACAGCCCCTTTTATTCTCTGTTTTGCCAGACAGTTAGCTAGCAGATACCAGTTTTGCATTCGGTACTAACAAAACATTATCTCAAAAGAAAGAAGAAATAGAAGATTATGCAAGGTCCAGTCACAATCACCAGATTTGTTTGTCACTCTTTATAATAGCAACATCTTCCTTTGTGGCTAGAAGTAAGCTTGCCAGACAGCCCTCCCAAATTCAGCAAGAACCAAGTACCAGACCGAGATACTCATCTGACAACTTTCAAATAAAAATTTCTATACATTTTTGCAATAAGAGGAATCATCTTTCCTTCAACGCTTCCTCAAATATTACTTCCTCTATAACAGTTTCCATCATCTGGTTCCACATTAGCCCAACAGTGACTATGGATAATCAAAAACACTTCTTTACAAGGAGACAGTTCTGAAATAAAACAAAACCGTCCTAAGAAACTCATGACTGTTGAGCTACGTGCATACCTTTTCATGCAAAATGTGTATTTACTTTCCCTGCCTCGGTAGTTTGTCAAAGATGTGCTCAGTGTAGCAACAAAGTCATTAAAGCTGAGGGAGTAACAGGTCACTGCTCTGGGACTGATTCTTCAACTGTTTAAGATCACTGGAGTTGTAGACATGGTCAGTAAAGAGGAAACATTCAATGAAAGCCAGGTGTTGAAGCACTCTAACACCTGCAAGCCACAGAATTTATGATCAAGTCTTAGTAATGCATACATACTCGCTGCAATTCTTAGCGTCACAACATGCAAGTTTGTCTGCAGTACACAAAACATTTCATTGAAGCCCACAGCCAAGTTCTACAAAGGGAGCCAGTAAGTGTCCCTTAGCAGTCACATGTGAACTTCCTTGTAGACAAGCCACTGCAAGAATTTAGAAAGTCTGATATCCAACTGCACACTGAAGTAACATTAGTAGGAAAGGAATACCGGAAAGCTGGCACTCTGTCCCTTTTCCTCTTAAGAAGAAAAGCAGTCCATGTAACTAAAGCTCCCATCTAGAGCTTTTTATTTTAATACATACCTGAACAATAGTGACAAATGCTCTACTCAGGAGGCACATAGAGACTCTTGAGAAGGTATTCTTTTCACTGCTTTCTTTACACATATAGCAGACGGTATCTGCCACAATGCTGGTGCTTTTTCTAAGTCCTAGAAGTAGAATGGTGTTTCTGGCAATGAAATGTCAAAGCTGTGTTACAGCTTGTTTGTCCTGCATGGCCTCCTGCCATCTTTGTAGCAACGGCCTTGAAGTACCACGCAGTGTGAAAGTCACAGTGCAAACCAGCTAGAGTCTCCGAGGAAGACAAAGAAAGGCCAACCGAAACAGTAACAGTCATGTCGCTTCTTGGCTGCACGGTTATAGGAGTTGACTGAAGCAGAAATGTCTCCCCTTGGTTACTACTCAGACTCTCTCATTATACCAGCTGTTCTTGAAGTAAGCATCGTTAGTTTAGCATTTATAAACGGCCCTTAAGAAGTCCTATAAGGCAACAGTGAAGCCCAGAAAAAAATTTTTAGTGAAAAATCAGGCCGGATCCAACAGCCAGAGAGAGGCGAGGCTGCTGCAATTCCATGCCCTCAGGTCCAACCAGTGCTGATGTTGAACGTCGATTCCCAGCAGGCACACACATACACCGCCAGCCACACCAATCAACACAAGCAACAGAGCACTCATGTGAACACAGACAGCACCAATGGTCTCATCCTGCTCCCCTTTGGGATAGATATATCTCCTCTAGCTGCTGGCATCACAGGCACACGGGCCTCTGACCCCTGGTCCCAACTCCTCTGGCTGGCACATCCTTTCACTCGCTCCAGTCTCTACAGTTGCTGGCACTCAGGCACAAGTGCCCTATGACAGCCCTGGGAGTCCCTTCTTCTGAGCCCATATTTTGGGTTCCTGCCCGCCCTTGGGCGCCTCTACTCCTCTGGGTTTGTGGAGATGGGCCTGTGATGGGCTGACGGCTGCCATGACATGCCTGGGAGGAGCTGGGCCACGGTATTATTTGGACTCCCCCACCTGTCATTGCACCTCTGTGTTCCTTTGTGGGCACGAGCAGAGGAGCTTTTCAGTCACATCACCTCATGAATTATCTCTAGGAGGCAAAGCAGATACAAGATTCTTTCTTACAATCTGAGCTACAGACAACTATCCTCCTCTTTAAAAGGAATGGGGAGAAATACGTTCTGGCCCTAGATGTGCTCTACAGCAGAAACTATATGAAGCATATGAATAACGGCGAAGCAAAAGAACAGCAAAGGAAGAATTATGTTCTTTCTGTGTTTACTGCAGTTTTTCCAGTACCTCTTTCAGATATTTTGTTGACTGTGGCTAATAATAGTTATAGTAGAAAGGCTGTTTTAATACAGAAAAATGTAACCTCAAATTCAAAAAGGTTAACAAGGTAATGCCTGAAGAACTACAATCAATCTCTACATATAGCTTTGTATTCTAAATAATTCCATGTTTGACACCAAAGAAAATGAAGTCTTGAAAGACTTTCACTTAGTTTAAGAACAGCTCTTAGTATTAGAATCCATTCACATTCAGACCCAATTTATCTGAGGGAAGAGTTCTAAAATGCTTGATTCTAGAAGACTTCTCTCTAATAGAAGTATTGATTTCTTTTAAGTCTGTCAGCACTTTGTGCTGTGGTTCCACAATACCTTAAAGCTGAGTTAAATCAGAGTTGCTGACGTCTCCCACTGCTGGGCCAGTTACGGTTCTCATCTGACTCCGGGTTCAGAGTCTTAAACTGACTGCAAAATCATTCATACATCCCCCGCCCTGCCACTCCCATAGTTTATGACCACATTAATTCCCTGAGCTGGCTCACAAAAGATCAGATGAGCTCCAGCACTCATGCAAAGATAGGAGTGGAACAGACAGCTGAATAAAAACAGGAAAGAGGATTTGACTGTAGCTATATCTTTGATCAGCCTAAACCATCATGAGGTCCTAACTTTTAATTTCATTGAGGAAAACGAACATACGAATTATATGGTGTTAAGTATTTTACTCCCAAAGCAGACCAAAATGCCCAAGTCATCTTTGAACCTGCTACTTGCTTGCATTACTTTTTGTGACATGCACTTCAGGAACTTGTTCTTAGTATGTTGCCATTTTATAGGAGGAGTAAGAAAAGACATTGTTCTTGTCCATCTCCTGAAGGAGCTCTGCGAAACTGCCTCAGCACTGAAGATTCTTAAAGCAATGGCTAAGCAAGTCAGAAGACATGTTCTCGTTCTACCTGAAAGAAGGGCCACAACCGTTGCTAGGAAATCCACTTTCGACACAAACCCTGAGTTTGGTCGAGTGCTGGTAGCAGGCCTGCTACAAGCTCTACTGAACATACACTAAAGGCAACTTTGGAGGCAAAGATTTTATCTGATCGAGCACCGATCCTCTGAAGGACAATGTTACCTTTCTACAGAAACAACTCCCTGTTAGAGACGTGTTCTACTGCTCTGCAGGACAGTACTGGATAGGTCAAAATTTATTGTTCATCACATTTTCAGGAAATGATAGATTCTCTTGTGATACTGCCTTGTGCATTTCAGAGGACAGGGCGCTACACTACATGAATCTTTGGTTTGACCTTGCACTCTTACAGATACCCATCATCATCTTCCAACAGCATAGACCTGCTCGCTATGTGGCAGGCATCAACACAGGAAGTGAACTATTGCTGTTTGACTGAAATACAAGCAATTAAAAATGGATGGCTGTAACAAAACAATTAAGCCATCTGATGCAGAGACATCACTAAAAACTCTATCTATAAATAAGAATATATTTTCTCAAAGCAAGACGGAAGACGTATTTCACTCAGCATTACACCTCTGTGTTTCAGCTTGCGCAATAGTTTTTACTTAATTTAAAAAGAAAGCCATTCCCCACTGTGGTGAGAAACTGTTGTCTTCTAAAAGGGCAAGTAATGTCATTGTTTTAAAACTCAGAACAACCCATTGCTAACTAGGAAACTACTTTCTTCCAGCCATAAGACAGATTTTCCTCAGAGAACAAGCTCTTGGGTACTATATTCTGCTTGCTTGCTGAAGCAGAACTTCCTGACAATTATCACTAGGCAGGTCAACTCAGCTATGCAGTTTTTGATTGCCCTGGATGCTTCAATAAGTGATCCAATCCTCCTAACACTGAATAACAGAAATGCATTACAGAGAAATACTGAGTAACAGAACAGGAAGAAAGGCTTTTAGTGTTTAGACAAACTACATTTTAGTGACAAATGCCACATAAACCCTATTAGACCTTCCAGAATCACAAAATCTTTGTCCAGCTGATGTTGCTAGGACAGCAGTATTACATAGGGCACATACCAGAAACTTAACAGTGCTGTGAGTGAAGGAAAAAAAAAAATAAAAAATTGAATTTCCAAACTGAGGGAGCATTAAAACAAAAAAGCCAGCCTCCCCTCCCCATCCCCCCCCAGCAATCTTCAACACCAAAGTAAGACCACCCACTGAATTCTCACTCTAAATTTAAACCACCTCAAATTCAGTGTTTGTAATTGGTATTTTCAGGCTAAATAAAAATAAAGATGCACCCAAACCCAAAGAAACGCTTTATTTCACAGTTCACACATTACTGTTTTCTCAATTTTCAGGGCTCCTGACCGATGAAATAAATATAAATTAGAAGGAATTTGCTGGAATACAGCATGCTGAGCCACTGAAAAAGTAATTTCATCTTTAAAATAAGAGTTTGTATCCTGTATTGGCAACATTCACATATTCCCACGTGCACCCGACACATTATTTTGAAACGAGAAACTTCAAAGCTTTAGAATTCTTGCCAAGTTCAATTTAAAATATTCAACTTCATAACTGACTTTCCTCACCTGAGTTTAAGAGTTCTTCAATTAACGTCACATCACCACGAAACAGAGCCTTCTTTAACGCTTCTTTCTTCTCCGCCTGCAACATTTGATCCAACTGCTAGAGAAGCAAAGAAAAGTTAAGTCAAAATCTAGTAACTGTTTCAAGGTAAAAACTACAGCTTCACGTCAGTATAGAAGCACTAATGACCACTGTAAGGACAAAGTGGGGTGGGGGTAGGTGTGGAAGCAAGGTAAGAATTCCTTCTTCCACCTCTATAGACCTGCTTAAGCTCTACTGTAAAACATAAGTTTTAAAATTAACTTTTCAGAAAGAAGATATTTACATTTTCAGAGAATGGAACCTTTCTCAACAGACCTGCTATCCTCCTACACTGCTCTCAGTTTTTCTTAGTGGTATCTCATTTCAGTTAAGATTCCTTTTCATCTTTTGGTGCTAGAAAAACGATGCAACACATTTCTTTACCTTTTTTGTACAGTTCACATGTTGCAAAGCACAGCATTAAAAAAATACATCTAATACAATCAGACATAAAAGTTACAGTTTGGGGCAACACAGCCCAATGACTAGCTGTCTGGCTTAATCCAGCATGAATCCACTGCTGGAAAGGGCTACCATTCCTCTTTCCTCCTGCTCCTGTGGTAGCAGAGATATTTGTGTTGCTGCATCATAAATGATTTGGCTGAAAAATGCCCTGACCAAAAGGCTAGTTTATGCATCAGAGAGTTGCCTGATTCAAGTTCCTTTCAGAAGCATCGCAAATTTGTTCTCTATTAAAGGTGCAGATGTAGCTGAAGAGTGCTGCTGGCATTATCTAGATTATACAAAACACTTATGTACACCAGTAAGTTGAGGACTACTCACTAGCCCTTTGTAGACAGAAGCGGGTATGGAAAGAAGTTATATTTCACGGTAAGTTTTAAACTCACGAGAGCTCAGAATTATACAATTTTCCCCAGTGCACTGTAGTCTATCTTCCCAACAACTTTTGTAAAGATTTTAATAGGTGCTTAGTGTCTAGCAAACCAAAGGCAAGAAACAGCCAGTACAATAATTTAGCCTTATTTTTGTTCTACTCACCCAACAATTTCCAAATAACACATCTCTTTGGATGGGAACCTTGATTTAAAGATCAAGGCCACTGAAAAACTGACTACAACCTTTAGTAAGAGTACTACAATTATCCCCTTACTTCTTCATGTTAGCAAGAAACAGACTCAGAGAATTAAGATACAGAACAGCTTTATAGGCCTCCGGTCGCTTTCAAATTATTCTCATGTTGAAATAGTGACTAGGATCTGTTACTAAAGGGGAGAAAAGTGTGTAAAAGAAACATTAAGATTTTACATAAGAAGACAACCCCCCCCAAATTTAGGTTTTGTTTGCCCCTGGATTAAGGGGACACCACCATTACCCTACCAGGAGATAATCGCAGAGGAGGTGCCAGCCGCAGCCCCTCCCGAGGCCGGCCTCCTCCGCCGCACCCG